ATTAAAAAGAATACCGATACATACATTTAAAAAAATCCGAGGAAGCTACTCACTACATGTGATACAAATATTGTTCTCATGATCACTACTCACGTATTTAGAAAAAAATTATCAATGTAATATGCTCAATAACCTTAGAAAACTTTTGCTTTATAAAAACTTAGTAAAGGACTGTATCAAACAGAAAATCAGGAAAAATGGAAATAATAATAATAATAATAATCGTCCCAAATGTGCATAGATAACACTCCTATAGTGGCCTTTTTTACCCATATACCCCGAAGGGGACTTAGTAATTAGGCACTTAAAATTACTCTCTTGCAAGATGATACCACACACAATAATAATAATAATAATAATGATAGATTTTGTTTGTTTGTTTGGTTTGTTTTACGGCATATCAACCCCAATGGGTTATTTAATGCCGACATGATTTTTATTGCAGATAATATTTTTTTCCAAAAATGTATTGCTGGTAATAATTTTTTTTCTTCAAAAATTTATTGCTGGCAATAATTCTTTACAAAAGTGTATTGCTGGTATTAAAACCTATTTTTACATTTTCATAGCGTTTTGAACCCAGTTTGAGGTTAACTATTTGCCCATAGCTGGGACCTGGACATGTGTTACCACCCCGGGTCAGAGTGGACCTGGAAACACCAGCAATTAGGAGGCGGTTCCACGCTCCTCAAAAGCTCCTGTTCAGAGGCCTTGCTATCGGATGTCCTTACTCAGGACGCGGATGTAGTTTACCGTCTTACCCAGGACGCAATAATAATAATAATAATAGGAATAATTAAAAAAGAATAGTGACACTGAAATCTGAAGTTGTGTTGGGGATAGCCAAAGATGCATTCCAAAAGCTACGCAGAGTATTAAGAAAGAAAAACTTCGCTTGAAACAGGGAAAAGGGTAATAAACTGTTATATATGTCCTCCCGTATGACAGTGAGTGTTGGGCAATCTCCTCAGTAATGAAGAAGAGACTTGAAGCAACAGAAATGTGGTTCCACAGAAGGATGCTGAGGATACCGTGGACCGGATATGGGAGCAACAACGAAGTTTAGAAAAAAAGAAACAAAAAGGAAACTTATACTTAACACCAGGAAGAGACAGTTGAGGTTTCTAGAGCATATAATGAGGAAAGAGGGCTTCGAGAACCTGATACTCACAGGACAGAATGAAGGCAAGAGAGACAGAAGAAAACGACGCATAGCATACTTAGTGAATTTGAGTAAATGAATGGCGGGACAAGATTTAGGAGAAATAAGAGAAAGACAAAATTTATTAAAAACTGTAAAGGAAGAGAAGTTGAAGAGAGCTATTGTCGCCTACATCATGAACGGACACGTCACGTAAAGAAGAAGTGATACACATATTAGGAAAATCCCAGGAAACCTATCATTATCTGAGATACAAAAGACTCTGCACATGAGCATTGTTAACATCACGTGAATATAAGATTTTCAGAAAAAAATCAATAAACTTCTTAATAGCTTTTTAAAGCAAATACCGACTTTTACTTTAAGTCTGATGCAGAAGATTTCGATTGCGATGGCTGGCCGCTCGTTTCCGAATATGTCTGTCTATAAGAGCGGTTAGCCAACCACTGTTGTAGACATCTGTGGGCATATTTTGTGTTTGTTCAACGCCCACAGAGCCCACCTCTGGTTTATACTGCAACTATGATGAGAGGACCATAGTTACAGTTTCTGGGAGAGAGCACATTCTCTGGCCTGACCAACTGTTTGAATAAGGCCAGTACACTCAAACCCTCGGTCACGATGACTTGCTACTTCGTCCTAGCAAATAGTTCCATCTACCCAATTTTACTTACAAGTCTTTGGTCAATCCGTAGTATGGTTTCAAACACTTTCCAAAGATGCCGTAAAAAAGGATTGTATCAAGAAATAATAATAATAATAATAATAATAATAATAATAATAATAATAATACAAACTCTCCAAATGCAAAGATCTTGGAGTGGAAATCTAAAAAATGTGGAACAGGAAGACAATTTAATCCCAGTTGTGGATGGAGCCCTCGGTTTGATTGGAAAATATTCTGATAGACTCATTGAAGGGATTCCTGGTAGTCCATGCCCATGTCTTAAACAGATACAAAAAATATTCTCACAAGTACAGCTCACACCTTACAAAAGTTTTTATCTATGTAAAATGCTTATGCTCTTAGGTTGTTTTATTTAATTTAAATGTTCAGTGGAAAATGTCATGACGCCATTTCTGATCTTTGGTTGGGACCTGGAAGGAAATGAGAATACAAAAAAAAAAATCAAAGGAAATAATAATAATAATAATAATAATAATAATAATAATAATAATAAAGGTTTATTCTGCATCAAAAGAAGTCCATAAATATGCAAGAGAATTCGGGTTAAATGTTGAGATTAGCGCTGAAGTAGATGCAACTGCCATAAAATCAGCAAGAAAACTGAAAGAAGAAGCGAAAAAGCTAGGCCAAAAGCGAATAGAAGAAAGTTGGAGCCAAGGGCTTCTTGATAGCCAGTTTCTTTCCCGATGTTAAAAATGCTGATGTAAATCAATTCGCAACCTATCAGTGGTTAAGGAGAGCAAGGAGAGCAAGATTTGATGGTGAGACTTAAGGGTTTATTCTTTCTGCACCAAAGGACCAAAGCCTTCTTACACGCAGCTACTAAGCTAATATCTTGCATAATAGTGCGCACTCGAAATGTAGGTTCTATTATCAATACAATGAAACTGATCAACTTATCTCAGGATGCTCAATGCTCACACCGAATGAATGCGAAAACCATAATGACAGGGTAGATCAATATCTACATCAGAAGCTGTCATCACTGCAGGATAAAAACAACTGCAAACTGGTATAAACATTATTCCCAGTCTGTAGTTAAAGAAGCAGATGTTGGGATTTTTCTATCATCATAGATCGAAAAATACAAGCAAAACATCCAGATATCATTATCAAAGACAGAAAAGAAAATACTTGCATACTGATTGGCATGAGCATTCGAAATGAAAAAAAAAATTTTTTTGAAAAATTAAACCAATACAGAGACCTGGAGATGGAAACAAAAAAAAATGTGGCACTAAAAAGGTAAAAAGCTATATTCAGATTCAAAAAAGTCCATGAATATGCAAAAGAATTCGGGTTAAATATTGAGCGCTGAAGTAGTTAAAACCGCCACAGAATCAGCAAGAAAATTGAAACAAGAAGCGAAAAACCAGGACCAAAACAAACAGAAAGTTGGAACCAAAATCCTCCACATAGCCGGTTCCTTTTCCGAAACCAAAATGCTGATGTAAATCAATTCGCAACCCACCAGTGGCTAAGGAGTTCATTACTTAAGGGTGAGACTGAAGGATTTATTCTTGCTGCACAGGGCCCGAGCCTGCTTACACACAAATACAAAGCTTGAATAATAGTAAAAATCAGGTGTTTTGGCCGCAAAGAAATCTGTGAGTGCTTGTCTCATTTACAAAGGATTTCCCACGAAGGTGGTTGTCCAGAGAATGGAAAACGTGGTAATCTGTTGGCACACCGGTGTGTAAAGTGGATGGTACAATGTCTCTCAGCTAAGTCGACGTATGGCATCACTGGCCACCCGTGTCACATGAAGCTTGGCATTATCACGGAGGATGATGGCTCACTCTGCTTCAGAATCAACTGCTGTGAGCACAGGCCCGCGGTGAGGATTTGACCCGTTGGCAGCAGCTCATAGTGTACCACTTATCGACTATACTAGATACAGAGCAGGATCTTGTGTAGATGTGGTCTTGTGGCGTGAGGCGCAGGATTCCTTGGTGACAACCAATTTCTGGCAGGCTTAAAAGTGTCATGTATAAAAACGTTTCATTGGAACTAGATTGCGTGTTTCGCCTTTAATAAGCTTCATCAGATCAAGAAGTACTTACAATTTATTATTCAAGCATACATTGGCGTCATCGTAAAAAACGGCGTACCACAAGTTATCTCGTAGTTGACAGTCAATAATTTTGTATGAAAAGTCGGAACGTTATTCTGTTTTGTTTACAGTGATCCCAAGAGCAGAAGAACTTAGCGCCAGTCGGGCTAGCGTAACGAAAGCGGACCTTGACAGACCAAGCATCAGACAGTCCGATGCAACCAGGTTTGACAGATATCGCCTGTCTCAATCTCCTTTAAAGCCACAAGTGAGGCGCTTCGGGTCAAGTATGTGGGCTTCTCTGTCGCTATTGTAAAATTTGGAAAAGATGGGGCTTCTATGAAATTAAAAATACGGATTTTCCCCTATTATCGGGGGCGGGGGGCGCTCTATTCACACATTACTTCTTGAAGAGAGCGCTTATTTCAGGGTGTCGCTTATTCACGAAAATATGGTCTCTCTCTCTCTCTCTCTCTCTCTCTCTCTTAGTGAGTTTAATTTTTCGCAGTTGCTTCGGATGTGCGGGTGGTGTAATGGATGACGGCTTGCAAGGAGAAAAAGGAAATCCGAGTTCGAATTCCATTTGGGTTAACTAAATTCATTTACGTGCAAATAGCATTGGGAAAGGTATAAATTCATTTCTTCCCTCCAGCTATGGATTAAATAGTAGAACTTATATCTGGAAAAAAACATTTTGTTTTTAAATTGTCGATTTGTTCATTTGCAAGAAAAAAGGAGGTTGACAAGCCGTAAAAAACAAATCAATAATTCCCAGGTGTTTCAATTATACAGATTTGTTCTAGAGTAGATTAAGTTTAAGAAATACCCACGTGTACGTAATCTTTTAGAATAGCCATGCCGGTGGAAAATTTTTATCATAAAGATAAGCGTTTCGGTTCAAATAAACGTGTCGCCGGGAAATTGTATATTTTTAATAAACGTGGAATGAAATAATCGTTACTCAGAGAAAATGATTTGAAAAATAACAAGCGTTCCGTACTAAACCGTGTCGGGGGTTAGCAGGAATTGAAGATAATAATTTAATCGTGCCGGCACTTGTATTTGGTGCACGAGTGTACTTAGCGACTGATAGACGCTCACATACGTTGAATGTTCTTTCTTTTTTCATTTTGATATATAGATATGAACAGATTGAGATAGATAGATAGATAGATAGATAGATAGATAGATAGATAGATAGATAGATAGATAAGATAATGAGATAGAGAAGAGAATGACAAAGATAGATAGATAGATAAATAGATAGCTATAGAAGAGAATGGAATAGATATGAACAGATTGAGATAGATAGATAGATAAAGAGAATGAGATAGATAGATAGATAGATAGATAGATAGATAGATAGATAGATAAAGAGAATGAAATAGATAGATAGATAGATAAAGAGAATGAAATAGATAGATAGATAGATAGATAGATTTTTCTAGGACTAGGAATTTATAATCTGTTGATTTCAGTTTTCAAGCCTTAGGTCATTGAAGGTCCTAATTCGAAAAACCAGGATATTGACTGGTTGAGATCCGCTCAAGCAGAAGAGATATGCTAGCAAACAATATACAAAAACAACTTTCCACGTATATTTATTCGAATAGATATCAGTCTTGAATGGCGAAGTTTCTCTCCAGCAAATATGTCGGTTCTATGACCGACATTTTCGTTTCTGTTTCAGCTAAGGGGGTTTTCCACCAAAATTGCGATATTTCCGCGCCACACACCTCCATTAAGTTGGAATATTTCTGAGTAGGAACTCTTCCTCTGTTGTCAGTCATCCTCTTAAGACGTACAATCTGAATAAGCAACAGAAGTAGATTTGAAATTAACAGAATATCGGTAAATTGTGTTCATTATCTCAAGAGCCATTGTTATCCCATGCCTCGAGGAATCAGGATGATACTCGCTTTCTCTGCTCGTCTCCTCGGAAATTTACATTAGATATCTTTTGAAAATGAAATCTATCCAACCCCAGTCTGTCTTGCTATGATTCTGCCATTCCGCTTAATCTGATATTCTTCAATTTGCGAAAATTGCAAAGAGAGAACTTTATCGAACATTTTCTACACCATGTCTCTAGATTTTATATTTAGGCATTGTATCGCCAATAAGCAAATCTTAATAAATAAACGGCAAATTCTGTCTGTCCGTCCGTGTGTCAGAAACCACTTTAACTCGGCCCACATTTCCTCTGCATAGATATACTATACTCTTTTGGAATCAGGATTGAAAATCTGCCCTTCGCCTGGTGCTTGAACATTCAGCATTGGTCCGAATGAGACGGGAACAGTTAAAAATTCAAATTTTAAAATAACCGAAAAAAAAATAGCGATATTAAAAGTTTTTAATTCATACTGAGTTTAAATTAACACAAAAAATTTGTGAATTTAATTTTTTTCTTTTAAATTCAGTTTTAAATATCTTCAAATCTATGCGAATTGAGGAAATCCATTTTATTTCTTTAAAATGCCAAGGAATCAGAGTTAAAGTGAGAGGTTTTGTGATGTGAAGTTTTGAAGTTCTACAGAGTTCGTGATTTGAAGAACTCAACTGAATTGAAGTTCCGCAGAGTTCGTGATTTGAAGAACTCAACTGAATTGAAGTTCCACAGAGTTCGTGATTTGAAGAACTCAACTGAATTGAAGTTCCACAGAGTTCGTGATTTGAAGAACTCAACTGAATTGAAGTTCCACAGAGTTCGTGATTTTGAAGAACTCAACTGAATTGAAGTTCCACAGAGTTCGTGATTTGAAGAACTCAACTGAATTGAAGTTCCACAGAGTTCGTGATTTGAAGAACTCAACTGAATTGAAGTTCCACAGAGTTCGTGATTTGAAGAACTCAACTGAATTGAAGTTCCACAGAGTTCGTGATTTGAAGAACTCAACTGAATTGAAGTTCCACAGAGTTCGTGATTTGAAGAACTCAACTGAATTGAAGTTCCACAGAGTTCGTGATTTGAAGAACTCAACTCAGTTGAAGTTCCACGGAGTTTGTGATTTGAAGAACTCAACTCAGTTGAAGTTCCACGGAGTTTGTGATTTGAAGAACTCAACTCAGTTGAAGTTCCACAGAGTTTGTGATTTGAAGAACTCAACTCAGTTGATGTTCCACAGAGTTTGTGATTTGAAGAACTCAACTCAGTTGAAGTTCCACAGAGTTTGTGATTTGAAGAACTCAACTCAATTGAAGTTCCACAGAGTTTGTGATTTGAAGAACTCAGCTCTCGGCATGAACTGAAATTTCGTTCCAGATCGGAGTTTCGACCAAATCGGATTTTCGGTCATAATCGGTCTTTTGACTGGAATTGAACTTATATCCCGAATCAGAATTAACGTAAGGTTTTGAAGTTCCATGTAGTGAATTGAGGAATTCAAAGATAGTTCTTCAAAATTATCATTGCTGCTTTCTAAACTGGACCTTTAGGTCCCTTTAGTTTTGTGCCGGAGGCCGAATTAATCCTCCGCAGGGGTGCGGCTTTTAAGCTAGTAAGTAAATAAATTAAAATAAATAATAAAAGAAAATCGGTTTGTTATGCCTTTGCACAGTTGGCTCGCAAAAATAGAGCTATGAGGACGTTTATGATATTGAGCCCTGTTCATAAATGTTTTCCAGCTCAATTATGGAACGGTAATAGTATTATTATTTACACTTTTTACATACGGACTATTGTCCTCATCTTTGTTGTTGTTATCACATCATTCGGGTCGTTGTGTCCTCCGACCTTCATCAAGTATATGTCAATCCAAGTAACCAACAGGAAATTTAAAACTGAACCCTTTATTTAATCTACGGGTGTAAATTGTTCTCTTTCCACTGCTCATGTTCAGATATATCTTGTCTAGTTTTATTTTAGTACTGGTCAGTTATTGTTCGCCTAGTTTTCACTTAGTTCAAGTACTAATAATGTTATTGGTATTTAAGAGGAATATTAAAAAAAACAAACTTGCACATTTCTAATTAAAAATTTGGGGTTTAGGCCTGGAAACCCTGGTCTACAGTCAATATCCCAAATTCATGCGTTCTGGGTATGGCGATAAACTACATCCGGCATCAAGGCCTCTGGTCGGGAGATTGGAGGCTGTTCCCAGGTCCACCCTAACACGAGAGGGTAGCACCTGTTAGGGTACCAGCTATAACCAAACACTGAAAAGAAATCAACAGTACATTTTTATAATAAAATGAGCAACAATAGATTTTTATAGCAAAATGACAATCAATGCAACACTAAAAAAAATATAAAAATACATTTTTATAGTAAAATTATTAACATTACATTTTATGATCTACAAACGAACAACCCCGCCACCTCCCCCCAAAAAAACAACAACCGAATTTACACTGAAATTATGTACAAAATATATGTAATGGAAAGCATAAATTTACGTACAAAATATGTACATTTTGTCATTAAATAACCCATAGGGGTTGATAGGCCGCTAAACAAAATCAACCAATTGGGACGATTCTCAGTGACAGAAATAGATTCAACTCCCCCCTATAAACATAAGAATATAGGTCTAGATCATTATCTGATAAATATAAGGAAAGTTATCTTGAAAACTGATATTCGGTGCTCGGCCTGTGGTGCCAAAAGAGCGGGGAATGATCGTATGAAAGAAACCGAGTACATTTTAAAAATCTGCCCAGTAATCATTTTTATTAGATTATGCAGATTTAAATTGTTTTAATCTTTGGGAAATTACTATAAAAAGGGAGAAAAACTGTCTCGGCCATTTTTTTTTTTTCATTGCTGGTAAATTTGATAAAAAGTTGTGCTAATTTGATTGAATTGTCTGATGCACGGCCTCAGAATTCGCTTGATATCGGTCATTTTTGGAAAAGAGTTCCGAATTAAGCCTGTCTGTCACTTATAACATTCATTTCAACGAGATTCCAATGACTTTCCTCGCAAAAGAAATGAAGAAAGAAAAAAAAAAGGAAAAAAAGAAAAAGAAAAAAAAAACACTATCCAGAACTGATCACCTAAAAGTAAATGATAAAACAGGTGCAATATCTGTCTATATTTCTGAGATGAGGTATTATGTACATTATTTACATTATTCGGACTATTGTCCTCATCTTTGTCGCCATATTTATTACGGCCTTCTTCAGTTGGTTGGAATGTCGAACTGAACCTTTTATTTCGCTCACTGGGGGTAGACTGTTCTAGTTCCACGTGCCGTGTTTAATGGATGTCAGTTATCAGTTATTTCCTGTTAATTCCCCTCTGAAAGTTCTCTCTGCCTTAGCCGGGTATTGAACTCACACTCTTTAGGTCCTGTCACTGTATCTAACTAACGCCTTTATCCACTATGCCTCGTCAAGCTCCAGGTTGGGGACACCTCCCAGGCAGTACCTCTCCTTCGGTGGGAGGCTGTGGTCATTATCCAACAGATAAGGTCTCCACCAAATAGAGAAGTGCGCAGGGGGCTTGAGCAATGTTTTTTCATTGCCGTTAAACTAACTTTAAACCTCGACATTGTGTCACATTCACTAGTGATGTGGGCGCGTTGAAAAATCAATAACGGATTGACAGAAAATTCCTTCTTCGGACTATATATGCTCTGTTTGCACCATCAATAGAAATTCGAGGGCAGCTACCACTCTTAGGTACCTAAGCATACTGAGCCAGTATGCCAATATACTTCGTGCTAGCCGAGTTAAATTATTACGTGTGGTTTTATGGCGTTGTAGTGGAACGGCTCTGAAATCTTTACGATCGCTGACAAATTCGAGCCGGCATTAAACTTTTCGTAAAATGTCCGATAAATCTGAAAACAATAGCCTCTAAAGGAGGGCACATATTCTTTATTGAGTTTTATCGAGTACGCAGGCCAGTTGGTTACTTATATATATATATATATATATATATATATATATATATCACCAGTGGATTTTACAGTGTGCGTGTGGATATGTATAGAGTGAAAGAGGAGATACAGAGATTAACGGCATAACAACAAAAAAGTATTTGATAATGGCTAATGCTACCCGAAAGCGTTCAGCTATATAAAAATATATATTTTCAAATATGAACGTAAAATAAAAAATAAAAAGTAATATATATATATATATATATATATATATATATATATATATATGTATGTATTGCATAGATATATATGTATATATGCGTGTATGTTTGAGTATATATGTAGACAATAAAGACAATAATTTGTTTATTACCTTCTAATCTTACTTCATCTTGAAATGGTTTCTAATCAGATTTGAAGAATTAGAAATATTACTCATCTAGAAATAGTTTCAAATTAAATTGATCACTTAGATTTAATTAAGAAATATTACTCCTTAACCATTATTCACAATATTAAAAATATTCAAATCAGTAATTTTTTTGAGAATTTAAACACTTTAATCACTATCTAACGTTAACTGTAAAATTTAAAAGAAAATTTAAATATGTATATATGTGGA